CACAGCTTCATAATGGAGGGGTTTTCATCTTTAAACACCTAAACCTAAAGGCAGCCTGGGGCCTAATCAATGACTTCATCTCACAGCAGATCAGATGGACGATCTGATATGTGAGGATAGCTCTGCAGCAGCGTTAGAACAGGGAAACCCCAGGATGACCACCATCTGTCTATGAAGTCAGTCTGAGTCATGCTAGCATCAACAACTAAGGCAGAACAAATACTAAAGTGCTTCTAAAACCCTCTGTCAGTTATTACAGCTTCATTCAGCATAGCTTCCACATTTCCCTCCCCTAAAATATCTTATTCTATTTTATAAGGAACTTTCCTGGTTGAATAAAGGTTAAAAAAATACAATTTTATGCATCTAAATTCTATTTCCCCCACAGAAATTAGCAAAGCCCCCCCCCCCCATCAGGACTGTAAACCAGCAGACAGTTAGTTTCTTTCCATTAAGCACAGCATCATTCCTGCGCAGTGTGTACGGATCTATACCATCCAGATCTATGACTAGAATGATGCTAGCAGAGAGGCAGGCTGAGGAGCAGTGGGAGCCTCACCGTTTGTCTGAAGCTCGTAGGACTTTAGCGAACACCTCCAGCTCACAGAACTCTCCTCCCAGCTGACAGAGTCGGCCCTGCTGGTAGAGCTGAAACACAAACACAGCGGAGAACAGTGAGAGACAGAAACGGATCAGAACCAACACACAGGCAGCAGTTCTGCTCTCTGGGTTTGGGATGTTTTAATGATTCACAGGGTTTGCTGAAGTCATCTAAACGCACTGAGGTGGAAGCTGCTGAGCGTAAAGCCCCGCCCACCAGCCCCTCCTCAGGCTCCCAGCCTCAGAGTGAAGATCAGTAGACCTAGACTCTGGCTAATGAGAGAACATCAGTATTCTCACATCTCTACATCTGTAAAAGCTGCTGGGGCCCGGGGCCACGGCTCCCTGTTTAAAGCAAAAGTCGCTCATATTCAGAATTCAAACTTCTGAAAGTTCTTTAAATCTGAAATGATTCCATCCTGTTCAATAAATGATCAGTGTTTTTAATTCAGAGTCATTTTCATGTGAATGTGCTTTACTGGAGGCATCCATGTTTGTCAAAGAACACTACTGCCACCTACTGGTTAGTGACATTGTCACGGTGCGGTATCGGCTGTTGATCAAGTCCCAGTGCTGTATCTGGTGTTTGCCACAACGCGCTATTATCCAAGTCATCTTGAAAACATTCTTCTTCCAAATGTTGGCTACATATTACGGGTTTTTTCTCTGGCCAGAAGTTCGATGGCAAATCCTCCCTCTTCAAGTTGGCGATCCAACGACCAACCCGTCCGTGGAGGATCAGGAATCAGAAAGGTGGAATAACTCTTTTTTCCACTTTTACCCGATGTATTCCAGCATCCAGCTGCCATGCACGTGGGCATTGTCAGTTTCACTATAGCTCTGGTGAATTTCAATGGTGAAGTCCTCTTGAAATCTTCAATAATTGTTGTTGATTGCAGATGTGTCTAGTAGTTCCCATTGATTTAGCTTGGAAAGCGGGGAGAATGGCGCTAGGCTTACCGCACCGTGACGTCACTGCTGGAAGATGGCAGGAGGGAGGGGCTACTATATCTGGCTAAAAATGGCCGCTCCCCGACTCAGTGATTGCCACGAAAACTATTGCTTTTATTTTTCTACTGATTAATGCTAAATTCATTAAATCACTGAGAACGTATTAGTTTTAGGTAGAAATAATGATCCACTGATCATTCCTCGCAGACCGGACTTTTCCTTTAAACCTTCATTTCTGACCCATGGCAGCCATGTTTCCTTTTATATCTGTAAACAACCCGTTTCCTAAATACACTTTTCTTCTTTCCAGGTCACTATTTCATGATTTTTGGAGACAGTCATGAAAGTGCTAATAACTCCTAATGTAGGTTAGATGTCAGCCAGTTCCTGAGAAGGATTCTGATCACTGTTTGCAACAGTTGATTTCTGAGAATCGGAGCCTTTTCTCGCAGGAACAAACCAGCAGTCTGGTTTGCTGAGGATCACTGTGAGCTGAGAGTTAAAACCCTCCCTTTACATGGTCCGTCATCAAAGAGGGGGAGATCCGTCATCTCTGGGGGGGGGGATCACACCGATAGCCAAAACATGCAGACTAGGTGGACCTGTAATCGGTTTGGAATGGGAGATAAAAAAATAAAAACACAAAAAGAAGCTTTCCTGCTAAAGTCTGGATGTGGTTGGCTCTACCATCAGAAACATCCAGCAAACCTGCAGATGCCTCATATTTATGGGCTGGACATCTCAAACCATTCCTCCTGCATTGATTGAAGTCTTTTTTCCCTTTCATTTGTCTCATCTGATTAGCAGCAATCCCCCCTTCCCTGACCTTTTTATCCAGTGTTTGCTGGAGTAGATTTTATCATAACTGACTAGAAATGTTAAATATACCAAATGAGATATTTATAAAATATTTAAAATGTGATTGAATAAAAGCAAATATCATTTTTGGTTCCCTCTGTTAAATGAGAACCTTCCGATGCGCCGGTCGTGTGAAACGGGACTGAAAGGGATCCCAGTCAGCCTGTAACTGAGGATCAAACCGTGTTTCCTGAACAATCTCAGCGCCTCGACCTTCGCTTCAACCCTTCAGTGTGATCTGTAGTAGGGCTGGGTATTTTCGCCAAAGTCATAAATCGATTTTGATTCATACAGTTCTTAATCGATTCATTTTGATTCGATCTGTTCAACTGTGTTTCAAAATACTCACGTATTTTTTTTCCTGTCATATTAATTACAACGTGAAAACTTGTAAATCTGACAGTTTAAACTTGAGAAGTGAACAAAACTGTCTCAAAAGCGCAAACTTGTTTGTGAAAAGTGAAAAAGTGAAGCCTCACACCATCAAGCAGACGTGACAGCAGACATTCATGAGCTGCATTATCTCCACTGCATAAGCCATATTAGCAGCGTTGTCTGTAACTACAGGGTGTTCGCTGATCAGCCCTCATTTGTTAATGTCTTCAGTCAACCTATTGGTCATATTTGCAGCTTCATGGCTTGAAGGCATCTTTAGTGCACCTTTCCTGCTCATCTGATTGTGAACGTCAAGCGCCTCACTATAAAACTAATCGATCTCATTCCCTAGACATTGATTTTGCAAAAAGGAAAAGGAATCGATTCAAAATCAATTAAATCGATTTTTTTGCCCAGCTCTAATCTTTACTAACAGTTCTTGTTTTTAACGTGGCACTGCAAAAAAAAAAAAAAAAAAAAAAAGTTGAGAAACACGTCTCAACAGTTTGACTCTAAACACGCTTGAAGCTGCGGTGGTCACCGTGGAATCGAAGACCTGCCAACACGTTAATCATTCAATAAATCTATTTTAGATGCCATTAAAGTTTTGGTGACGCTCCTCGTCTGTTTGGTTCTGTTAGAGCTGAAGCTAAACCAGCACAAGGAACACGCATTAGGTTTCCAAATATAGTCCTGATGTGTTCTTTAATATATTTACACACAATAAATGCATTATTTACTTTACAGAGCCCATTGCAAACTATGAAATATTAGCATGCACCTAAAACCCTCCATTCTTCGATAACCCAGAGGTGAATGGATGCTCGACCCACTGCTGTTCGCCGTCGTTCTCCGATCGTCAGTAATATCATTCAAGCTTTTTCCAAAAGTCGAGCAATTCAGCTCAACTGAAACTTTATTTATAGACCACATTTAAAACCACCCAGGGTTAACAAAAAGTACTATCAGGTAAGACAGAATGAAAGCAATAAAATAAATAAAATACATTAGAATATTAAATTAAAATGTGTCCATTCATTAAAAAGGAAAAAAGAGGAACCAAGAACCATGCTGATGACGAATCAAATCAATACTCAATTCTCAGAAATAAAATAGTTCTACTGGGACATGCCTACCATAGAGAGTGGAAATGATCAGTACAGTTTAATTTTCCTGCTGCTATGAAACAGTGCTGATGATGTCACTGATGATGTCAGCCATCCCATCTCTCCTGTAGAGAGAATTAAGGGATGAAACCCCAGCACTATGGAGGCCTTCAAACATGGAGTTACATTAGATTCAGCATTTAGACCAATAGATCCAACAAATGTGCTGAACTAAGAAAAAAGTAAGTAAGAAGGTTCCGGGTTTGATTCCCGGCCTGGGGTCTTTCTGCATCGAGTTGGCATGTTCTCCCTGAGCATGGTGGGTTCTCTGTCCAGGATGGACCCCCTCCTCTCTGTCCAGGGTGGACCCCCTCCTCTCTGTCCAGGGTGGACCCCCTCCTCTCTGTCCAGGGTGGACCCCCTCCTCTCTGTCCATGGTGGACCCCCCCCCCCCTCTCTGTCCAGGGTGGACCCCCCCTCTCACCCATAGACAGACAGATACCTGCACCCTTCACCACCCCAGCAGGGATAAAGCATGGATGATTTGATAATATATGAGTGAATAAAATGGTGAGGTTAGGGGATGCAGTGGTCCAGGCCAGTGTTTATTCTTGAACCACACCAGAAGCCCCCCCCCCCCCCCCCCCCCCCCCCCACACACACACACACACACACACAGAGACAGACACCACCTGGTAATCCAGGTGTTAGAACCCCCCCAGCTGTCAGGGACTCCCTGCCTGTAGCAGGCTAGTTTAACCCTTTCCATCCTACTGGTCTATCTCCAGTACTGAGGCCTGTATCCACAGCAATAATAACGCACTTCTTCTATAAAATAATCCCTCCTGATTGTCGTTAAAGTGTTATATTGTAGATGTCGGCCATGTTTAAATGGTTCAGGTAATGTTATTCCTGTGTGCTAAGCTAATGCTAGCAGCCCATGGCTGCTGCAGCTCACCTTGTAGTAGACATCGAACTGGATGTTCTCCGGCAGTGAGCGGATGTCCCTCCTGGAGCGGCTGTAGTTGTCCACCACCGCGGAGATAGCGGTGTTGTAGAGGCTCTCTGGGATCCATTCGAGCTCCGCAGCAGCCATGTTGTTTCTCCTAAAGCCCAGCAGCTATAGCTAGCTAGCAGCAGCTAACAGAGGCTGTTCTCCCAGGATGCTCAGATAACATTCACTATGGAGGGGGGGGGGGTTACTGATGCAGCTTCAAACGGTAAAATCTATTCATTCCTTCATCTCCGGTGTTTATTTGGCCACCCTTCAGCAGTTCCGTCCCCAGTTCCAACGCACGCATTTTCTGCCGCTGACGCGGTGACGTCATAGAGCAGCGATGGGCGCAGTCAGACCAGAGGCGCAGCTAATATGAATACATCTAAAAGGTTCCAAATTAACAGAGGTGTTCGTCAAGGCTGCCCCATTTCACCCTTTTTATTTATTTTAGTTGTTGAATTATTGTCAATTCACATAGTTAATGATAAGAAATTTGAGGGCATTTCTATTTTCGCTGATGATACAACTTTTTTTAAAAGATAAATACCATTTACCCAACTCCATTAATCTGGTTGCATCCGGTCTGAAACTGAATCTAACCAAATGTGAAATTCTACCTCTACATAACTGCAATGATGTTTTGATTTATGATATCCCAGTTAAGGAAACAGTCAAATATTTAGGCATATTCATTACTAAAAATCTTACTGCCAGACAGCATTTAAACTTCTCAAACAGAATGATAAAAACTAAATCCATTTTTAATTCTTGGCTTCAAAGAGACTTGTCAGTCCTTGGCAGAGTTCTTCTATCTAAAGCAGAAGGTCTCTCTCGCTTCGTATATCCTTCCTTATCTCTTTTTGTTAACAATTTGACAGCTACAGAAGTTAACAAATTTTTTCTAAACTTCATTTGGAAAAACAAATCACACAAACTTAAAAAAGGTGTACTATCAAACAGCAAAGCAGAAGGTGGTCTTGAAATTTTAGATTATTTTGACACTATGAAGACTTTTAAGGTCAACTGGTTAAAAAAATGTCTTATAAACCCTGAATCAATCTGGTTCTTCATCCCAAATCATATTTTTATTAAGAAGGCCTGTCTTTCCTTCTGAAATGTAACTTTTTACCTAACAAATTACCCATCAAATTGTCCAAATTTCACCAGCAAGCCCTTCTAGCTTGACACTGGCTTTTGTCCACAACTTTTCACCTCACAAGGCTATCATCTGGAATAATTGTGATGTTTTGATTAGAAACAAGTCCTTATTCTTCATAAATTGGTTTAAAAGAGACATCAATCACATCCTTTATCTCTTTGACAGTACTGGCAATATGCTTTCCTATGAGTGCTTCATGTCCTTCTATAGTTTTCCTGTTCCCTTCAGAGAATTTAACAAGATAATTAATGCTATCCATAAAAAGATAATTCAACTTGTAAAAAGTCACTTGAGTTACTGTAAATTTAAGAAAACTCTACCCACTCTCATATTGGAATGAATTAACCTAACAGACAGAAGATGTAACAATAGACTCATACGCCAGTGCTTTCAAAGTAAAAACTTTATCACACCTAGAGGTTAATTTTATTGGCATACCCATATTGATAGCATAAGCTGGAGAAGAGCCTGGCTCTTACCTCATATTCTAACAAAGCCAAAGAAATACATTTTAAAATCTTAAATATATACCCTGTAAACTGTATTATTGCTAGATTTATGGACATAAGTAACTCATGTACGTTTTGTAAAAGAACTTCAATTCAATTCAGTTTATTTATATAGCGCCAAATTCACAACACATGTCATCTCAAGGCACTTTACAGTTCAACCAGATCAAATTGATACAAAGTTTTCTATCTAAGGAAAACCAGTTGATTGCATTGACTCATTGACTCAAATACAATCCCCCACACTAAGCATGCTTGTAGCGACAGTGGAGAGGAAAAACTCCCTTTTAACAGGAAGAAACCTCCAGCAGAACCAGGCTCAGTGTGAGCGGCCATCTGCCGAGGCCGACTGGGGTTCAAGGAGACAGAAGCAGAGATACAAAAAGCAGCTGTAAAAGGCGGCCCCGTCCAGGAAACACACAGCCAGGCAGACGAGCTCCAAGGCAGCTCCCATGCCAGAGGACGAAGAGAGCACATCCACTCAGTCACGGTCAGAGAAACAGGACCACACTGGAAAACAGGCCGATCTCCAACATCTATAAACAAGGGTGTTGATAGAAGCAGCACAGCTGATGTTTCTTTCCAGGATGACGTCACAGCCAAACAGGAACAGACGAGGCAAAGCTACTCTGAGGAAAAGCAGAGAGAGCAGAAGGTTAGAGATTGAACTAACAGATTCTGCAGAATAGGAGAACAGAGAGAGAATGAAGCAGAATGATGAAATGGGGGTCCCTATGTCCTCCAAAAGTCTAAGCCTATAGCAGCATAACTATAGAGATAGCTCAGGATAACCTGAGCCACTCTAACTATAAGCTTTATCAAAAAGGAAAGTTTTAAGCCTAGCCTTAAAAGTAGACAGGGTGTCTGCCTCACGGACTAAAACTGGTAGTTGGTTCCACAGGAGAGGAGCCTGATAACTAAAAGATCTGCCTCCCATTCTACTTTTAGAAATTCTAGGAACCACTAGTAACTTCAGAAACGACTTGGCATTTATTTTTTAGTTGTGATGAATCCCAAAAATGTTGGAGTGACATTGAATCTTTTTTTTTCCCATTCAACTAAAATTGTATGCACACTAACTCTCAAAGATGTTATCTGCTATTACAATAACTCTGAACATCGTGACTTTGAACATATGCTTAATTTTATTATCATATACGCAAAAATTCATTCACAAACAAAAATGTGCAAACTCGATTCCTAACATTACTCACTTTCTCTTAGAGTTGAACTCTCTGATTGCATCCCTCAAACTGATTAAAAATAAAAAGAACATGTTTCTTGATAACTATAGAAAATACTTTCCTGAAACCTCTTACTGATATTTAATAACTTTTTTTTTATTATTTAACACTTGTCATTTGTATTTTATTGACTTTATTGACTGTTTCAAATTATTTTTCCTTTTAATGTTTTTTTTTTCTTGTCTAGTTCAATTATTGTGTAACTCTTGTGCAAGTCTTTATATCTCCCCCTCTGATGTGCTGTCCCTTAATACAAAACCTGTTTGTTTTGTACATTTGTTCAATAAAGTTTATTAATAAAAATAAATAAATAAAAAAAAAATAAAATAAAAAAAGACCAGAGTTGCAGCTATGGCGTCGCCCCGGGTGTCAAGGGCACAGAAATGATGGCTGTGTTCGAATTCATGGGCTGTGTCTTCCAAGGACCCGCCCTACCTGGACAGAGTCCTTCCAGGTCCTTGAAAATAAGGAGACAGAAGAGTTTGGCTGTGAATTCAAACAGGTCCAGCCTTTGGCAGCTTTCACCACTCTGTCGCTTAGCAACCGTCACAGTTGACACACAAAGCAGGAAATGAATTAATACCGAACTTTTCAAACCTGTTTCTTTTTGTTTGTTTTCATTTTTTCTATTGTAAAGTAACCAAATAATACACTGATGAGATTCAAGGTTCCACCCACCGGGAGCAGGAACTAATCAAATCAAATGTAATGATAGAAACCTTAGTCAGTTAAATAACCTGCTGCTGTCATTCGGCACATCTCTGATGTTGCTGCTATTTTCGAATATTCATTACTGTAAAAATGTCTATAGCTGCATATTGGTTATTTATTCTCCAGGTGAACAGTTTTATATTCCTAAAATACTTTTCAGTATTTTATTGGTTATATTTTAACTCTTCACTATTATTTTATTCCAGTCAGACTCCAGTCTGCCGCCAACATTCCACCCTTTCCAGTTCGCCTACCGACGGAACCGCTCCACATAGGACGCCATCTCTGCTGCTCTCCACCTGAGCCTGGCACACCTGGAGGAGAAGAACACCCACGATGGATGCTGTTCCTGGACTTCAGTTCAGCTTTCAGCACCATCATCCCACAGCATCTGATGGGCAAACTGGAACAGCTGGGCTTCAATACACCCCTCTGCTATTGGCTGCTAGACTTCCTCACCAACAGACCTCAGTCAGTCCGGGTCGGACCTCTGATGTCATCAGTCTAAGCCCCTCCCCTCAGGGCTGCGTCCCCAGGTTCACCACCGATCACATGGTGAAGTTTGCAGACGACACCACGGTGGTGGGCCTCATCAGAGACGACAAGGACCTGGACTACAGAGAGGAGGTGGAGCAGCTGGTGGAGCAGAGATAACAGCCTGATCCTGAAGGTGGAGAAGACCAAGGAGATCATGGTGGACTTCAGGAAGAAGCGGCCTAACCACGCTCCACTGCTCATCAACAGCTCAGCTGTAGAGGTGGTCAGCAGCACCACATTCATCACAGACACCCTCACCTGGACTGGAAACACCACCTCACTGGTCCAAAGGGCCCAGAAGCGCTTGGACTTCCTGCGGAGGATGAGGAGAGCCTACCTGCCCCCCCCCCATCCTCCCCACCTTCTACAGAAGCACCATAGAGAGCGTTCTGGCCAGTGACATCATCAATGACCCCTCCCAATGACATTGGGTCTAACGTTAGAAAATAGAAAGTAGAGGAAATGGAAAGTCATTCACTGTGAAATGTCAATGTAGGGATTCTTTATTAAGTGGATAAGGCTGTCGTTTTGTATCATTTGAAAAAGTCGTGTGGTGAAATATATTGCTTCAAACATTTGATGAAGACATGTATATTACATGTACATTATCAATTTAACACTTTTGGCACATCTGTATTAAAAGGGAATTCAAAGAGTTTAACTTCCTGTTCAAAGGGAGTCTTTCCTCTCCACTGTCGCTACAAGCATGCTTAGTGTGAGGGATTGCTGAAGAGTCAATGAGTCGATGCAATCAGCTGGTTTTCCTTAGATAGAAAACTTTGAATCAATCTGACTAGATGATCTGGTGAACTGGAAAGTGACCTGAGATGACATGTGTTGTGAATCGGCGATATAGAAATAAACTGAGTAGAATGGAATTTTATTATGCTGCTCTATTAACACATTAATTTAATTGTGATGGATTGTATAATATGTTATATTTCATGATTTATAGACTTCATAATGACTCTGCAATGTGATGGGCCTATTTATTTATTCTAAGTTAAAGTTAATCTACTGATGCTATGAAACAACCAGTCTGTGTCAAAGTGATGAATTTATCTTTATTTTAAAAGTCTTCAGTCTCCCTGAAAATGAGAACATCATCGTTGTTCGATGCTGTTGCGCACTGATTGTTTACATTGCGACCGGTCTAACTAGGGAGTACCAATATGGCGGCTGGTGGTTTCACTTCAACCGCGTACTACCAACGAGCAATCAGCAATCCAATGGATAAATAGAGATCAAAGGTCCAGGGCATAGAAGTTATATACATAGACGCCTCATTGGACACTGCAGGCAGCGACGCCGAGGTGCCTAAAGGGCGGCCATCTTGGATCAGACCACAGTTCAGACAGCTGCTCTCAGAATGAATAGGAGGTGCCTTAGATCTCATTTTAATCATAAAGACAATATGTTTATTAGAGATAATATTACAATAATCTCTTCCATGTCACAACCCCCTAAAAGATACAAACTAATTTTAAAATGACCTTTCAGTTAGATTACACAGATTTATTGATTAAAAACTATTAAACTGAAGTCAAACTGGATGAGATATATGCATAGTTATATAGTTTGCAATTAAATATTTATATAATAAACAGAATTTTTTAAATTAATATATTATAAGATTATATTTTACACATATAATATATTCATAGATACTATATTATTATTATTATTATTCAGTATTTTTAAGGATTGCGCTTTGATAATGAGTATTATGATCTATAGAGGAAAATGTGTTGTAATGTGACTTACAAGAGAGTTAAATTAATATTTAGTTTTTTTTCATTAATTTTATGTTAATTTTTATTCATTTTTTTAATCATCAAGACATTTTTGTCAAATCATAGTGAATGGTAAATTTATGTTGTGTCTAACTAAAGGGTTTTTGTCCTTATAAACTTGTCTAAACTACGTTTTTTTTGCATATGTAAACATTTGAAACATTTCGTCTATGTATATAATGTCTGTGGTCCAGGGCTCCGCCACCTAGCAATGATATTCTACACTGAAATGTCCTAACTATTTTGGCATTGTAATTGTTTATATATTAACCAAAATCTGACAAAAACAGTAACGTATTGTTCACACTAATTTGATAGAAGGGAAAGTTGGCAGGACTGATCTTTGGTCAGATCAGACCGCAGCCGCATTCCAAAAGATCCGACCAGCATCGGATTTGAAACGTCCTCCAAATGTGGCCCAGATCAGATTGGAAGAAGTCAGATTCTATGTGACTTGAAAGGCAGTGTTGTAGTACTTGAGATCGGTCTTGGTCTCGAGACCGGTTTCGAGACCATTTTTTGATGGTCTCGGTCTCGTCTCGGACTTGACCGCATTTGGTCTCGGTCTTGTCTCGGTCTCGGGCGCTGAGGACTCTGCATTTTATTTCAAGACCAGTCAAGACCACATCTGTGGAAATAACACTAATCATCAGAATATTATCAGTTTCTTTAAGATCCATCTTTTTATTGGATGCTTGGTCACAAGTGGTTGTCTGAGAACGGGTCCACATCCGGCCTGTGGTCTTCTGCCACATGTCTCTTCTCCTGTTTTTTTTAGTTCTTTTTGTGTTTTTTCAGCACTAGTGGCTCGTTTTATGGACAGTAGGCTGACAGGAAAGGGGATATGAGAGAGTGGGAGAAATATGCGGGAAAGGACCAAAGGTCGGATTCAAACCCAGGTCGGCCACGTCGAGGACTAAAGGCTGATTTATAGTTCGAAACTAGGTTGTCTGCGTAGGTGTCGCAGTGAACAAAAATACGTCCCCGCAGACACTCTGCTGCACCTCTCCTAAATTGTAGGTGACCGCAGACAGAACAGCAGACAGGAGGCCGGCTTGTTTTGTTTTTATGAACTAAAATTGCGTAAAACAACTCGTAAAGATGGACCAGCTAGAAGAGCGAGGTGTGCGAGAACGCTGGGACCCTTTTTCCACCTGGATCCCTGCTCCGTTGTCTGACAAACTCGCCCCCACTTCCTCACCGCCTTGGCAGTATCTAGACCCACAGCGAACTCAGATTTCAGCTTTCAAAAACCTACAATGCAGTTGATTCCTTCCCGCTATCATCGCAGCCCCAACCCCTTTACAGAAGAACAGAAGGCCTCGTCTGTTCAGCCAGGCCAACAATTCCCTTTAAAGACCCCCCTTTCAGAGACATAGACAGGTATGGGGCATTGCAGGCTGACAAAGAAGCCAAACCACCCCCATTCCAAAGGGGGGGACCCGTTCATCCGTTTCTATTTGCATGTTTTCTAAACTAAAACCAGGCTTTGTTGGGCTGCTGGATAAAACCTGGAACTAAACGCTATTTCTGACATTTTGAATTAAAAAAGCTTCCTGGATGGAAGAAAACGTCTTCAAACTTGGAAACAAAGTCGACTGATTTTAACTTTTTTGTAAAGATTTGATTCTTCTTTAATTCTTCTATGTCCAGTGTAACTAGGAAGTGCTTAGATGTACCTGTAGAGGGCAGCAGTCGCAACGGCGGTGCCACGTCATTTTATCAGAAGAAGACTAGTTATGACGTCAGGACGTTGGGTTGGAGCATGCCTACTGAGCTCGCACATAAACAAAGGCAGGACGTTTCCCCCGCATTCAAATCGGATCCATCTGATTTCATATGAAAATAAATCAAAAGAAAAGTTAAGCTTCTGAAAACCTTAACCATGGAAACCCCTCTCCTCATGCGAGTTAGTGTTTTTACCGACCAAGGAGGCCGGAAGTACATGGAAGATGTTACCGAGGTCATAGTGGAGCCCGAGCCGGGAGAGGAGCAGCCGACGCCGGGCGATGGCGGAGCTCCCACCGTGGATCTCCACCAGGATGCCGGAGAGGAAACCCCGGATTTAACGGAGCCATCCGGCGGAAGAGTTCCCGCTGAAGACAGACTCCCGGTGGAGGAAACCTTCTCCCCGGGCAGAGAGTGCCCTCCCCCGGGTCAGCAGCCTGCCTCCCGCCGCTCCGTGGCGTTCTTCGCGGTGTTTGACGGCCACGGTGGAAGCGAGGCGGCGCAGTTCGCCAGAGACTGTCTGTGGGAATCCATGAAGAAACAGCGGGGCTTCTGGTCGGACTGTGACCGGGAGGTCTGCTCGGCGATCCGCAAAGGATTTCTAGCCTGCCACCATGCGATGTGGAAGAAGCTCCGTGAGTTTCCCGCAGCCCAATATTCACTGGATGAGTTTATTCTCTGACTTATTATTTATGACATAAAGCAGAGTTAGAAGCGCGCGCCATGATGTGGCTGCTAGCGCTGCTAGCTTAGCTTAGCCTGATCGAAGCTTCTAGACACAAACAGTCATTTTCCGCTCCCTGTCAGGCGTTTTAATGACTGAAGGAAGTAATGAGACGCATCACTTTGTTTTTTGTTTTATATTATGGTTTATTGGGGTTTAGGCTTAAATTAGACTGTTTTTCTCTTATTTTTTATTAGTATTTCGATGTTACTGCTAAGGTCGCTAAAGTTGGCATCTGATTGACAGCTTCATTAAAGGGCATTCCGCTGTTTTTATTAGACTTTGATTAGCTCTGATCTTAATATCTACAATCTAGATTGGCAGAATAGACAAAATAGTTCTAGATTACCCTGCAATGAACCTTTAAAAGGGAAGTAATAAAAAAACAACAACCTAAAACTGGGAATTCTGCGCTTAGTCCTGAAAGCTGTAATATAATAGCCTAAGATATGAGGTTCCTGGAAGGACAAACTGGATGGAAACAGGTTTTGATCTGCAGAGAGCACTGGTTTAACTGAAAAAACATGAAAAGGACCGACATTTATTATTCTACATGCTGATGATGTCCTATTCCCTTAGACTTGGACAAACTTTATTGTCATTTTGTACCCATAAATAAATAACCCAGTCCTTCTTTTCACTGTAGACAAGCCATGATCTGCTTATCTGTTCTCCATTTTTCATTTGGATGAAATAATAGCTGCATGAATCATGACAGCAGACAAGATAGAGGAGAGCAGGAGGCGGGGTTACCAATCTACTCGCTCTGGAGAGCAGAGTTCGCTGCTTTTAGATGTTGTCTCCAAAGTCTCCAGTAGCAGAAAAAAGTCTCTAGATTTGGCGCTAGGAGCTTTTTAGAAATCAAAGTGCTAGAGGGGTCTGAAAAGTGGCTAAATATAGCGACTAAAGCCTAAGTTGGCAACACTGCTCTTTGCATGGTTTGATGGCATTTTAGTGAAAGGATTTTAATCAAAAACATAATTAATGTGCACAAATAAGGAATAGTTGTATTAACCGTAACCATGCAGACATTGAAGCCTTGATCTGATTGATTAGATGCTGTCTGAGTGGACTAGCCTGGACATGTCAGCTGTTTATCAGTTATTACCACTCTGTGGACTTTACCAGAGACATGGAGACAGCTCCAAGGCTCTGGTCTTCAGGGTGTCAGAGACAGGTGGACATTTCTACCAGATAAATCTGTTTTTTTAATGCTAAATATTTACATTATTATTATTTTTTTTACAATCTTGGTATTTTCCTGCTCTAAGTGAGTCACTCTGTCAGCTGAATGCATGTTTTACAGTCTCTATACTCCAGTTAAGGATTAATTGTTTACTGAATTAGTTGATTATAATTTCAATAATTTATTTGTCTCATGAATTTGATTCATTCAGTCCTACTGTAAACTATATTAAACATCCTTAATTAAAGAGGTATTAATGAGACACAGTGTTTTGTCCTTAAGCTCAGTATCAAAATTTATGGGTAACTTAGTGTTTTTCCTCCATTGTTCTTCACAGCTGAATGGCCAAAGACCCTCACAGGCCTTCCTAGCACATCAGGCACCACAGCCAGCGTAGTGGTCCTCCGGGGAAACCGTATGTATGTGGCCCACGTAGGAGACTCAGCCGTCGTTCTGGGAGTTCAGGACGACCCATCCGTCCCGTTCATCAAAGCGGTGGAACTGACGCAAGACCACAAGCCGGAATTACCCAAAGAGAGGGAGCGCATCGAAGGGCTCGGTGGGAGGTAAACAGTGACCCCTGTTTCTGCATTCCTCTGCTGTGCAACATCTAGGAGGGGAAGCTCTGGGCATTTCCTGGATCGTGTTTCTGATCGACAGACCGCCATGCCGCTGGGCGCACCCCTCTAATATAAAGTTAGGATTGACCGGAGCTTTCCAAAACTCTGTTTTCCAGGAATATGTTCAGGTTGGATGTCTTCACATTCTTCCTGGGATAATTTGTGCTGAAGTGATTAGAGGTGTAGCAGTCAGCAGTAATTTAGAAGCACAAACCGGTTCTTTGAAAGCCATGGTTATGAAATAAATTCCCAAATAAAGGGTTGCATAATTATCTGTTCAGAAGAAATGAGCCGATGCTCTGCTGTCCCTGGAATCTGGATATTAAATGGACGATCAGAGGTCTGTAGGAGGTTATAGTTGGATGGGACAGATTTTGAGACTCAGACCAGGCCTGCTTTATGTCAACAGTCTGAAGCAACATCTGGACGGATCTAGTTGCTGAAAATTTAAATGATTGTTTTTCCCTATCAGCAGAAATGGCTTCACTGGTTCTACTGGTCAGAGAAATGCTGAGGTCCAGATTAATGTAGGACAAATGTTCAGGGATACGGAGAACCAGGGAAGCCAAGTTAAAACGTCACATTGGATGTGAGGTTAAATAAATATGTTTATATAAACTGTTATTCTGCCCTTTATGAAGGGAAGGGATCAAATGTCTCATACAGAAATAGACTAAAAGAAGAATGCTTTGTGTTTTCTTGCTCCTGTTATCTAAAACCTTTTTTTTCCCAATAATTGTGGACTTTGGTGGATGCTAGTGTAAACGTCTGTGTTGTCTTCTGTCCCTCAGTGTAATCAAGATGTCGGGGGTGAACCGGGTGGTGTGGAAGAGGCCCAGGCTGAGCCATAACGGACCGGTTCGCCGCAGCACCGTCATCGACCAGATTCCTTTCCTGGCTGTTGCTCGCGCTCTAGGTGAGGAATGAAAGCTTCACGCTGCCGATGGAATGGATCACACTGGAAATGTAGAGACTTGTTTATATATGATTATGTTAGCGGTCTGAGCATGTGGTGAGAACCATGTGCAGCGTTTAAACGCACCCAAAACTTATCAGCTCTACAAAGGAGTGCAAACTTGGATCTATCTGAGACATCTGGATTAATATCCAGTCAATAAATGTCAACGTGGCCTGCCATAGGCAAGTGGGTAGAGATCTGAGCGCATGCAGAGAGAAGCTGAGTGCACACAGAAACGTTCTTCACGTGATTTCAGAGTGAAGCTCGCACCAGACAGGTTCGGAATAAGAACGCTGCACATGGTTCTCGCTGCATGCTCAGACTGGTAACACCACGCTCAAGTCGTTGGCACAAAAATGACGCCATAGGTGATGTGGACCTCTTTCAGGGTTTCTAACCTTCTTTTCTCCCCCCCAACAGGTGATCTGTGGAGCTATGATTTCTACAGCGGGGAGTTTGTGGTTTCTCCGGAGCCAGACACCAGCGTGGTGGTTCTTAACCCTAGAAAGCATCGTTACATCATCCTGGGAAGCGACGGCCTCTGGAACATGGTGCCGCCTCAGGAAGCCATCTCCATGTGTCAGAAGAACAACGAGGAAGCGGTAAGCTGTTGGGCTCCTTGGACCTGAAAAGCTGCAGTAGATGATTCTGTGCTACTTCAGGTCAAAGGTGGATCAAATGATAACCAACAAGGTCTGCCTCGTCGTCGCTCTTCATCGGTGCAGTAACAGCGTTCCTCCTATAGGTACCGGGTGGGGTGTCCAGCGCCAGGAAGCTGGTGAGCCACGCGTTGGTGCGGTGGCGCCAGCGAATGCTGCGTGCTGACAACACCAGCGCCATCGTGATCGCGCTGCTGGAACCTGGTGAATCGCAGGAGACATTTCACAACGAGGAGGTCTTTCTGGACCTGGCCAAAGTGTCCCAGAGTCCTACTCCCATATCCTGCTCGGACGCTCCTCTGCTCCAGGTAAGGGTGACTCTAGCTCCTCATGTTTCAGAGATCCCTCCTAAATGAGGCTTTATATCCACATTTCCCAGAGCGGTCAGTCTAATGAAGCCCCTATGCTGGTCTTTCCTGCAGCCGCCTTCGGATGAAGACTCCATCTCCGCCATGTCGGAGCTGCTGCCTCCACTGGAGCGACGGGATGTGCTGTCTGGAGGCCCCGCCTTCTACCACATGTCTCTGTCTGACCCGTTCGCTCTGACTCCTCTCTACTCTAACAGCAGCACAGATTCCCCCGGTCACTCCGGTCTAACAGACGGCACCTCCACCGGGAGGACGTCCAACAAAAGGACTGTGGACGGCTCCCCTTCATCGGGCCTCCTGGCCAAGAAGACCAAACGCAGAACTTCTGACCGGCTGCCGCTGGTCCAGCACAACGCTGAGAAGAAGCAGGAGTCCAGCGGCGTCTCTCCCATCCTTCAGCAGCATAATAAAACCACAGTGTGTGTTTGCTGAGAACACAGCAGCTGCTGCCGGTCCGTCTGAGGCGCCCGCCGTTCTGCTTCTGTCCAGACTTCCTTCTTTGAGGTTGTTCTCCTTGGTTTCTGCTCCCCATCTTTTCCTCCAGCGCGGGTGGAGCAGCATGTTCACCTGACGGAGCTCCTCCAGGCGCTGCGGCGCCGTGAGGCTGATGGTCGGCGCTGAGCCGCGCGCTGATGATTCCTGCATATTTACTCTGCCACACGGTGTGGTCATGGATTTTAATGATAATGTTGCTGGTGTAAATATTATGACTTTTATAACCGAGTATTTAAGTACGCAGAGATGTTTATGCAAAATGAATCTATTTTTATACATCCTTTCCTCGTACGGTAGATCATGTTCCTAGATGTGCACCACCATGTTGGATCTAGACCCTGGGTTTTAACACGTCTATGTATTTTACTAATTCCTGAAAACATGTCTTGAATATAAGCAAAAGGTGCTACAGTCATAAAAAGTAAGCTAGTAGTGAGTTTATTTGTGTAAATATGTGTTTCCTGATGTCACACAGTGATCCCTCTATAAGTGACGGGAGGATTTCTAATCTGTTTGTTTTTTTATTGCACATTGCTTGGTTGGAGGGAAGGCTTCTCCTCCCCTCGTTGTGTTGAAGGCGTGTTCTTCCTCCAGCTCCATCTCCTCTCCCTGCGTTTGCATTTCTGGGTGTTGAACAGATTTCTGCAGCTTCCTCTACAGGGACCTGTGATGTCACGCTGCGAGACGAGGGAGTTTTCCCGGGGGCCGTTTGCATGAGACTCCTGTCTGACTTGATTCATTCTGTGGACTTTTTTTTGTGTGAAGAATTTTAATTTTTTTGCACTTTTAAAGTGTCTAAGAGGGAATTTCTTTGAGAGGAGAAGCGTGCAGGCTGAGTTTGAAGCACTCGCTGGACTCTTCGACACGTCCTTTTAGACGAACTGCCAGGTTTTACAGATGCCAAACCCTTTTGCCTTGTGTAGGAATCTAGTGACCTCAGCTGAATGATGAACTTTACCCAATCCTGATGCATCTCCTTGCTTTTTCTACCAATAGCTTTTTTAAACGTAGCCCTCTGTAATCTGGACCGCCATGCATGGAAACTCTGAATATCACGAATATCGCACCTGAAATCTGTCACCCCCTTCAGTCAGTCAGCATTATGGGTGTTTTACTACGGCAATGAACTTGTTTTTATTTTGACTCATTCTGTTACTTGGAGTCTTTGGACTCAGATTATTATAATTCTAGATTCATTATTAATAATGTTTAGAAAACGTCTCTTCACTCACTGCCGACCTTTGTTCTAAAAGCTGTACTAGCTGTTGTGCATGTGTGCAGTGTAAATGGACTATTCCTAAATGAAATAATTAAAATCATACTTTGAAGCTGAGTAATAAATTATTTGGGTCGTTGATTGATTGAACTTTTTTAGGCTGATAGTTTTTCTTTGACTTGTTTAATGTTAGAAAGTGTCTCTGGATCCTGTTACTGCTCACACACAGCTGCACGTTAAACACATTACGCTTTCTGGTTCTGGAGTTTTCCATCTTCCTAACCGTCACAAACACACCTTAGACTGAGAGCACTGCTCTGATTCCCCACAGGGACCGGATGATTTGCTCGATCGCTGCACATACTGTTCTCCCTAAGCTGTTTACAGACTTTGAGTTTTTTTGTTCAGTTTTTTGTTTCTAATGTCACGACTATTTGTACCCAAGATGTTCTAAGAAACAGACACCTTATGCCTTTAATGTGTGCCGTTATGTTTTTGGATTGGAAATGGTGCCTTCCCCTTTAAAGCTCCCATTCACAGCGTGTCATCTGAGGTTCCCTTTCAGAGATTATTCAATCATATAATCCAGTCAGATTAAAGGTTCAAAGTTTCTATCTACGTAAACAACATAGACTTTACAGGATTCTCTGCTCCTGGATGAGCAGGTAAATGCAGTAGATGTTGACTCTAGCGATCACTCATACTGGGCATGCTTGTAGCGACAGTGGAGAGGAAAAACTCCCTTTGAACAGGAAGAAACCTCCAGCAGAACCAGGCTCAGTGTGAGCGGCCATCTGCTGAGGCCCACTGGGGTTCAAGGAGACAGAAGCAGACATAGAAAAAGAAGCATAGATACAAAAGGCAACTGTCAACCAGCTCCACAGGCGGCCCCGTCCAGGAAACACACAGCCAGGCAGATGAGCTCCGAGCCAGCTCCCATGTCAGAGGATGAAGAGAGCACATCCAGTTAGTCACAGTCAGAGAAACAGGACTACACTGGAAAACAGGCCAAGCTCCAACATCTAGAAACAAAGGTGTTGATGGCAGCAGCACAGCTTTTTGTTTTATAACAGTGTAAAGTCAATGTACTGTGGATTATGCAGGGGGTGAATGGCATTAACGAGGTGATGATGGCATTCTAAAGTCCTGGGATCCTTCAAGGAAATAGATGCTCACTAGCTGTTGTTAAAAATCATTTTTCTGCCACATGTAAAGACATGATCTGGATGGATCCAACTGTGAATGAAGTGACTGAAGGAGGCATACATAATCATACATAATATATATATTTATATATATATATATTATAAATAATATATATTTATTAAATATATAACAAGCAAAAAGCGTTTTTTTTTTGTTTGTTTGTGAACTGTTTGTGAAAAAGACGCGCGCTGACGTGATTTGGTGGCGCCATCTTGGGGCGGTCCAGAGCTCCGCTCATTGTCATGTAATTTTCAGTTATTTTTTTTTCTGAAAATAAACAAATGAAATGTTCTGAGAGGATGGATGGATGCTGCAAAGCATAGCTGCACGTGCATTTTTATATTTTCAATACTGTATACACAAATATATACACATATGCCTCACTATCTATCTATCTATCTATCTATCTATCTATCTATCTATCTATCTATCTATCTATCTATCTATCTATCTATCTATCTATCTATCTATCTATCTATCTATCTATCTATCTATCTATCTATCTATCTATCTTCCTAACTGTCACTGATTCTTATTCTTTCTATTCCTTTGTCATCGATGCAGCTCCGCTCTTATTTCTAATGTTTCAAAGGTTCCATCCGTTGGTTTTATTTTGAAAGGACTTACAGGAAGTAGCCGGTTAGCACATCCTGTTTGGGGTCTGATGTGATTTTGGAGAGCGGGAAGAATCATGGGGGCAGAGGACTGAGGATGAGCTACCGGTGTTCATCACTTCTGTGTGCCTGAGAATACTGGATGTACTTCAGTAAACTATTGAACAACAGGAAATACTTGTTATAACCGAAGCTAACGGTGCTAAGTAGCTAGCATTAGCTTTCCAGGTGCTGTTTCTTTCCTCAGGTGAGTTATTCCTGAAAGCTACTTTAAAAAATAAAACATTTGTTAAGCAGCTGATGTAGCTGTGTGTTTCTAATGAAACTTAATGATGTCATGTTTTCACAGGTGTTGTTAGGGAACATGGCAGCCTCACCTGTGGAGTACACCATCGGTGGGGTGAAGGTCCACTTCCCCTGCAAGGCTTACCCCTCCCAGCTGGCCATGATGAACTCTGTGAGTCTGCTGCTGCTGGGGCTGTCACTCTGGAAACAGTGACCTGGTTCATCCTCAGACACTTCAGCATAGAACTGCAGACTGACTGAAAGCTCAGCCTGATGTAGATACAAATAAATAGATGAAAGCTAGGATCTGGATTAGTTTAGTTTCATTCACCTTTTGGAGAGGAGGAAGCAGAGGTCAGGACCTTTAAGTCACCCTAAAGGTCCTGGGAGGAAATCCTGGACAGCTTTTTGAGGCGCCGTCTTATAGGGCGCTCAGTTAGATAATCTGGAAATGAACATTTCCAGCCAATAGTGTTACTGGAATCCAGGACAAGACCTTATTACCTTTGGAACATTAAAAAATATGGATATTTTTATGGTAAATGTCAATGTAATAACAAGAGACGCCAACTTGGCCGAATCTATTAACAAAAATAACAACAGTGCTTGAGTGAAAGAAACACATTTCTTCAGTCCAACATAACCTTAGAGGCATTAATGCTGATACTGGAACTGACATTAAATTTATAACTTTTCAATTTCAATAACATTTTTTAAGCTTTTTTTTTTTCTTGACTTGTTAACTTTTTTTCAACTTAATTTCCAGTGGGTAATCTATCATTCAAGGTAGGGTTGGGAATTGAAAAGATTTTCACGATTCCGATTCCCTTTTTGATTCTATGAAACGATTCGATTCTTTATCGATTCTTTTTTCGATTCCAATTTGGGGGAAAAAGGAGAACAAACAATTTGATTATCAGCATCAACTTTGTTTACTTAACTATTGCACAATCTTACAAAATCAACAAGATCAAGATGTCCACAGGAAATGTGAAACTGGAGTAACATCTGTGTTTAAACGAAAAATGAATACAAGAACAAACTTAATAACCAACAATGTCTAATAACAAATGATGGGATAATAACCTATTTTAAATAACAAAAAATACTAATTATAAAACAGTAGTAGGGAAAATTAACAGTTATTTTGCAGAAAGATGAGCATATCTGCTTTTTCTGGAAGGATACAGGATCTTTCAGAGCTTATGGTGTTTCCAGCCGTGGAGAACACCCTCTCAGATGGGGTGGAGGAAGCCTGCACACAGAGGTAGTTTTCAGCCAGTCCAGATAGCAAGGGCAGCGTATCTTGCTTGTTCCACCACCACAGTGTGGCGCTATCCCTGCAGGGGATGGAGGGCAAGCTTTTATAGAGCTGGATTTCCTGATCTACCCTCTGGGCTAAGGAAAGACGGGGCTTTGATTCACAAAGTGACCGCAGCTCGTTGTCTTCCTCCTCGAATAGTTCTTCCAACTTGCGTAACTTGCGTAAGTTGCGTAACGTACGTAAAAACGTGACGTAAGTCGTGCTCCCCAGAGCTGGCGCTCTAGGCTCTGGTGCTGCGGGAATCGAAAAAAGAATCATTCAGCGAGCTGCCAAACGATGCCATGGAATCGGAAAATACGGAACCGGTTCTTAACAGGAACCGGTTTTCGATTCCCATCCCTAATTCAAGGGCTCATCTAATTGGTCAAATGCCAAAATGAGATGTACAACCATGTAGCAGGATCTTTGCTGAACTCCTGGATATAGATCTTGTGCTTCTAGACCTCACTGAGGGACGGGGGGGGACTCCATTTGTAAGGGGAATGCAGGTGATCAAAAAGGCTAACTTGTCCTATAAAGGTTTAAGGAATTTCTCTGGGTACTCCGCTAACTTCCCACATTCAAGAATCTAGCAGGGTGGATTTTGTGACAAACACTCCAGGGTTTATAGAGTTTCTAACCTGCATGGTGCTGAAGCGGCGAGCTCGTTCTGTCCTCTGCATCATGGTGTCTTTGTGTCTGCAGATCATGCGAGGGTTGAACAACGGACAGCACTGTTTGTTGGAGAGTCCCACCGGCAGCGGGAAAAGCCTGGCCTTGCTCTGCTCGGCTCTGGCCTGGCAGCAGGCTCAGTTTGGTAAGGCTACACCCACCCTCATCAAAATACTACAGAGATAAACCCTGAAGTCATTTCAGACACTTACAGCTTTTCTTTCTTTATTCTGGTAAAGAATTGCTGAATGTAGCACTTTGAAAAACATTTCATTACTGTGTTTAATAACAGATTACATTAACAGGTGTGGATTTAGGAAATTTGGGGCCCTAGGCAAAGACAGGCAGGGGGCCCTTTGAAATGGGAAGATAAAACAGACCCGTTCCACAGATAGAGAAATGTTAATAGAATAGACATCCATTATCTGTTCTAGGTTGTGTCCCTCTCTTCTTGTCCCTTTTCTTCTTGTTTTCCTCTCTATGTTTTGTACTCAGCTGACTTTTCATGCTGTCTCTAAAGGAATGAAAGATTTTTTTTATTGAACAGGATGGAATCATTTCAGATTTAAAGAACTTTCAGAAGTTTGAATTCTGAATATGAGCGACTTTTCCTTTAAAGAAACATTCAGTCAGCCCCTTTTTAAAGGCAAACCTTTAAAAAGATATGAAAATAAGAAAGAGTGACGGTTTATGAGGCTAAATTTGCAACCTGAGGTCTTCATTTTATTTCTAGTTCATATTTAGATGCTGCTTTGTGTTTTTTACATATAATCGGAATAAATTGAATTGAGTTTTATATTTAATTTAGATAAAAATTAAATATATTTAAATGCATTCAAAATATTTTCTTAAATCTTAAGTGTGCGGTTTCTCCTCATAGTTGATCTACTGCATTGTTGCCGTCGGCCTGTTTACTCACCAGCAGCATCATCTCTTCTGCTGTTTTCAGCTAAACTCAAAGATGGAGGAGCTCCATCAGGGGATAAAAGTCAGCCTGATAAAGATTTGGGCGCAGGCAAGAAGTCAGAGTCTCCGAGTCCGTGTCACTGTGCGTGTCACAGGGCTTCTGATGGAGCAGCAGGTCAGCCTGCTGTGGTGGACCTGACCGTGTCGCCCTGCAAGGATGCAGCACAGCCATCGCACACAGCATCGCAGCACGGTGAGCAGCCCGCTCTTCCCCATAAACTAAACCTCTGTAACCGTCCGTACTTCTCCGGTTCCTGCCATTTTTAAAACTTAACTGGATGTCCAGTCAGTGAGGAGCATGGCTGCAGCTGCAGCATCCTCCATGTTGTTCTTTCTTTCTTTCCCAGTCTGGGCAGCTGCTCAGCTTTCTGTGTCTGTGTGACTTTTCCAGAGGAGTCTAAAGACAGAAGACAGTCTTTATCGTCTCGTCTGTCAGAGAAAGTTCAGGCTTCGCTGGACGCCAACAGTGACAAAGATGAGGACTTCAGGCCAGACAGGAAGCGCATCCGTACCGCAGAGCACCAGGTAACCACGGGTCACCGCTCGCTATCTGTGATCATTAACTTTGATTTTTGACACATTGAAGAAGGGACCTAAAGCCGGCCCCTCGGGGCCCCTGTGCAGCTTTTTCACATGTGATGCTGTTGCCAATTAAAGAACCCAGAGGATGAGGCTTAGAAGCTGCTGGTAGAAACCATTTAAACCACGCAGCAGCCTGCACTGGTTGGATCCTCACTTTCTGAACTCAAACCCAACAGCCCCTCCTAGTGGTGGTCTGGTATTACTGTAACTTCACTGGAATACAGATGAGTTCAATGTTTAGCTAATAGATGGACAGAAATCCTGCTCACGCTGGTGTTAAAGTGACCCCCCCGTTTCCCTTTTAGAGCCATAAAAAGCAGCGAACACAGCGAGGCGTCATATTCATGGATGATGAACCGGAACCAGAGAATGAAACTTCTGGTCCTCAGAGCTGGAAAACGGCATCAAGCAGCCAGGCGGCCGGTTCGTCCTCATCATGCAGTGTAAGTCCATCTTTACGTTCTTTAAAACGTAAAGAAAAAATCTGTTTCATAAACCATAAACTTTTATACTAGAAGTGCTGTGTGTGTGTGTGTGTGCGTGTGTGTGTGTGTGTGTGTGTGTGTGTGTGTGGGCTCTGGTCAGCCAGGTCAAGATCCGCAATTCCAATGGCACCGAACAGGAAAAAGAACGGCGAGAAGATCTGGTTTGTTAAATTAAAATATGGTAACCATGGATTGGTAACTACAGATTAGAGGATAATTCTGATAAATTCCCAAAAAGTATTGGTTCTTCAACAGACCAGGAAGCTGATTTCTCATCCCCATCAAAATATTTATTTTATACTGAGAGGCTTAAAAGTTTAATCAAATCCAGTCACAGCAACTTCCAAGAGCGCGTCTCACAACATCAGAACAAACTTCTTACCTCAGGCCTGGATGAAGAGATGCTGAGTTTGGAGATGGAGAACAAACAGTTCATCCTAACCATGGATGATCCTCGTTATCCATCTTAGAAAATCCACAACAAAAACAAAAAAAATATTTGGGCAGAAACTGTTTATATGCTGGATGCTGACAGGTATTTTTTAAGCTGTCATATTAAATTAAGCGTTCATTTCCCCTTGTTTTGCTCCTATGAATGTAATAATAATATCACGCATGCTCTGCTGCAGCCCTGAGAAAGTTGGAGCGGTGCAGGACGGGAGGAACAGCGGAGGCTGTAGGCTTGGCTTTGTGCAGGAGGACTGCAACGGGGCGGAGCGCGGCGGGGCGGGTGGCGGAGCGCGGCGCGTCGGTTACGGAGGATGTTTGATTTCAGGGTTAGCTGCTTATGTTATGGAAAGGATTAGCATGCAGTTAACCTGGCTTGAACAATTATAAACGTGACTGTAAACCTGGATATTGTTAAACTGGCAGCTTTAGAGGGACAGAAAGTATTGAGTCAGCCACTGATGGAGCCACTCTCCTTAGAAAGATGGCTGTACTTTTCATCATGGGTTCATTTCAACTATGAGAAACACAGCAGAAAAACATCCAGGAAATCTGGGTTTGAAAGACGATTAAAAAATAATAATGGAAAATAATTATTTGGTCACAAACAGGTAGAGCAACATGTCTGGTCCTCTTTACAGAGCTGTAACTTCTTAAACAAATACTTCTGTCTTCCACACTACCTGTTTTAATGGATCAAAAGAAATTCAGTTTCTGCTGCTAAAATGTAATTTAGTAAATATATAATTACAGTTCCGGCCAGGAATGTGATTTTGCCAAAGCCAATAATAAGGCACTCAGTGGGCCGCCTTGGCGCGTCGAGCGACGGAGGCCAAAATGCCAGATTGAGGATTATTTGTCTTAATTGAAGCGAATGAGTCAGAATAAAGTAACGTAATCCGAGACAGAAAACTTTCCCCAAAGTCAAATGTTTTAATTGAGTAGAATAAATATGGCCACTTGACTCTGTCAAAGGCTTTTTTGGTGTCCAAAGATATCATAACTTGTGTAGTACTGACAGTGGGTGGGCTGTATATTACATTAAAGAGTTGTCTTATGCTGGAAAAGCAGTTCCTATTTTATATAATGTCGTTCTGATCTTTCCCAGCTACAGTGAGAAGCACTCTTTCTAATCTTAGTGCTATTTGTGTTTGCTGTAATATCCAGTCAGCATTAAGTAAACTTATCGAGTTAGGAAGAACAGGGAGGAGTCTTTCCCTTTTTTAGGAAGTAAAGTAATAACTGTCTGATTAAGGGTCTGGGGTAGACACCCAGAGGTCAAAGGTTGATTGTAAAGCTCTAAATGTAGTGGAGAGAACCTGTCCTAAAACGGGCCTGGGCATTTACCCGCCTGCAGCGCCCTAACTGCCTCAGTGGGTTCAGAGGTGACAGCAGGTCTCTGAGGATTGTCAGCTACATCCTGATTGATGGTAGGAACTTCCAAATCCTTAGAGTTACCAAAATCAGTTACAGAAGGAGTATAATGACCTATAAAACTCCTTCGTTTCCACGGGGTCAGTTGTGACCCCCCTGGGTAGTTTGGATGTGAGAGATGTGGAGAGGGGCTGACACTAGGTGAGCCGGGAGTTTACCAGCCTGATCTCCATGTTCATAAAAACTTTAAATAGGAGATAATTTTCCCTTGATGAAGCGTCTTCCAGACTAGTGGCCAACGCCTCCGGTCCTCTATTACACTAGATAAAGGGAGGGGCAGCCTAGTGCTTAGGGCACAGAGTTGGAGCCCAGAGGTCCAACCCCCCCACTCCCACAGCCTCCACTCTGGGTCCCTGAGCAAGACCCTTAACCCCACACTGCTCCCTGGGCGCCGCACCATGGCAGCCCACTGCTCCCCGAGGGGAGGGGTTAAATGCAGAGGATGAATTTCATTGCTCTGTACCTGTGAGAGTAGAATGACAATAAAAGCTGAATAAAGAGAAATGTGATGGAGGGTTGGACCGAAATACCAACTGGATTAAACCTGGAGACTGACAGGAAACATCTGACCTCTGCCAGTGCTAAAGGCTAGGCTATAAACTATTTAGTTGATCCAGTGTGGAAGATCTTTCCAGTTGACCTTGAAGCGCAGCCATTTGCTCCCTTTGTTTGGTCTGAATGATGTTCTGACATGCGGCTGAAAACGGCTCTCATTTTAGGTTCAGTGGACTAAAGTCTGTCCTACTTTATTTAGTCAGACTGACCACTTCCACTCACTGTTCACTTCCTGGGTGGGAGGAGAAAGTCTTCCACTTGGAAATAAAGTCCAGTGGATTGTTTTTAACTTTTTTGGAATGACTGAGAGTTTTCACCAGCTTCTGACCACTAGGTGGGGATATAGTCCACGGATTGAACATGAGGGCTTCAACCTTGACCAAGCTGAGATGTTAAAGCTGTTAAAGTTTGATGCTGCTTTGTTATCTTTAGACAAAGCAGATTTCATTTTATTGTTTCTCCTAAAATAAATTCATAACCACCCTGATTTCAACAAGTTAAGAAACCAATCCAACTGAAATAAAAGCAGTTTCAATTCTTATTGTTAAAAACTCTGCCTTATCCATACATTTTACTCTGTCTAATTATTTAACCTGCATCTCCCAGCTACCATCTCTGTCTCCCGTCAAAGACGTCCTTTACGTCTTAATAAAAATGGTTCTTTAATGTAGCTGTTGGTCATGTTGTAGCTTTAGAGTCTGCAGCTCTGTGGCGTTTCTTATCTTCCCTTCAACAGACGGATGTTCGTCACAATGTTTTATGCCATTTATTGTTATAGTGAAAACATTTCTAACCAGTAAAAAGTTTTCCCAGGACAAAGGTCAGAAGTTTGGTTTTTATCACCAAATTGCATTTCCTGATATTTTAAAGCTGAGAAACAGCTGAAACTGATAAATGTGACGATAGGTCCTCATGCAGACGGTTGGTTGGTCTCATACACTTCCTGGATCTACATCATCTTGCTAAAATCAGGCCACTGATCTTTCACTGAATCTTAATTTAATCCAAACGATTTGCTCCTGCCCTATTCATTGTACTAGCTGATGAAACTCCATGTTTTCTTCTATCAGGTAGTGGTCTAGTTGCACGCTTTGCCTCCCTGCCATAACCCTAATTTTTGACTAAGTAGCAGAGAAGGTAGAACACCGTCTGTTCTGGTCCATGGAATTCACAGGTGATTTTCAGAGCTGTGGCCTCCAACCTGAACCCTGAAGTAACCTGACGACTGTGTTGGATTCCAGCGGCTGCATCCTGCGAAGGCCAGATTCTGCCGATTACATCATAGCGCGGCGCCGAGGCCTGTTCAAATCGGAAGACTCCTCATTATGCGGCCGACAAATGCGGCCTTCTATTTGCCCGCTGTAAAGGACAGCTCTGCTGTATCCTACGTAGCCTGGGGTATCCCATGATCCCATGTTTCATTGAGAGTCAAAGCAAGCCGTCTGCTACGTGCGGATATTGGAAGTGCAGTTTAATATAATCCAATTTAATCTTCAATTAAAGAAAATAGTTTTGTTTTTTTAAAAGTAATTTATTGAGTTTTATATATATATATATATATATATATATATATATATATATATATATATATATATCTAACACTAAACACATGAAATCTTCAATAATTGTTGTTGATTGCAGATGTGTCTAGTAGTTCCCATTGATTTAGCTTGGAAAGCGGGGAGAATGGCGCTAGGCTTACAGCACCGTGACGTCACTGCTGGAAGATGGCAGGAGGGAGGGGCTACTATATTTGGGCAAAAATGGCCGCTCAGTGATTGCAGCGAAAATTGTTTTTTTTTTTTTCCTTTAAATGAATATTTGATGACTTTAGTTTAATATTAAGGATATTCTGATCCAATGTTAATATTGGATATCGGTCTAATATTAGCCATAAAACTGATATCAGATTTTATCGGCCAGCATCTAAAATCTCAAATATTTTCATTCTCTCTGCTTCTGTTAAGTTTCTGTTTCTCATTGGTTGATTTCAAACGGGTCACTTGTTTTCATACCTTTTGTTTCCTGTTTTAGTGATTTTACTTTTTCAAGGCTTTACTAACATTCTACAGTATAAAATAAGTCCAATTAGATGGTATGATTGATACTAATATCGTACCATACCATGATCATTTAACTAAAGATCATTACTTGGTTTTACCCTTGATTTGAACCTATTAATTAACTACAACTCCCAAGTCTAGTTATTAATATATTCATAACCTGCTGGTTAAATTGGTCAACATGTTTCTGGTGAAGAGATGAAAATGATGAGATTATTTGTGGTTGATCAGTTATTGAAATACTCATTAAATGATGTAATGGTTACCTGGAGTATCAGGAAAACCCACCCAGAGCTGATGAGCCCAAACTCTTCAGAGGAACGATGCAGCGTAAAAACGCTGCATGCAGAAATCAGTTAGCATTTCTGACCATTGACTTCAGCCTTAATTATGTCTCAGCAACATTTAAATTATGGAACAAATGTGTTTTGTTGGTTTAAATACTTGCTTATTGATGAACTCGGATGCCTAAATAATTGGACGTGTGCTGCGGAGCGTTTGCTCTGATGCAGCCTCGGCCGCTGCGTCGTTCTCAGGGGCGTCCCGCCTCCCACAGGTGTGGAGACGCAACGAGAGCTCCGGACCGTCGGATGTGGAAAAAGAGGAGGAGGGAAAGTGAAGTCGAAAAAACTGGATTGGCTCTAGTTTCACTTTAGCTACATGAGCCGGACTTCTTTGTCCCGCGAGCGCTGACTGATGGCCTGAATGGGGCCCTTTGAAGCAAGCTCCAGTTTTAATTAAGAGGGTTTGCCTCGCCTGGGCTGCTGATCTGTGAAAGCCACAGGGATAAATATTGAATGGGGTTCACCCGCTGGTTACTGCGCCCCAGGGATAAACAGGTGCTTCAGAGGGCAGGTATTTGCCAGGGCCCCTACCTGCTCAGCGTGGGGATGGGGGTGGGCTATGGGCTGTGGAGGGCCTCCCTTATTGGAATGAATTCCAGGTCCTGGAAAGCTGTGGAATGAGGAGTAAATTGGCGTCCAGTCAGCGGCGCCAGCGCTGCCTTGCTGATCCACTACCTGTGAGCTCCTGGTGCCCCGCCCCCAGAGGGCGACCTCTCTGTTGATGAGGTGTTCAGTGACCTCTGGATGCTAGCAGCTGTGAGCCTGGTGATAATAAAGGGATCTGTTTGTTAGCCTCCTAACCAAAGGAACACCTTGTTCTCAGAGGGGGCAGCAGCGGCGCTGCCACTGCTCCGCATTCCTTTCAGAGGGGTGTCTGCTCGGGCCCCGGGGCCAGGCTTCAAACCTCCTTGTCTTGGCATCTCGTGAAGCAGCCGCGTAAAAAGATACTCTTGTGTCAGCTGTTTCCTGCTGCAGCTCTGGACAAGGGCCTCTATTCATCAGGATGCCCCTCTACGCCCCCCCCCACCTGCCAATGAATAAGTAATTATCGGCCATCTTGGTGCAGGATATTTGGATGGCTCCATTTAACGTGGCAGCAGCAGGTAAGGCGATCGGCCCCGGGGCCCAGGCTGTGGAGCATGACTGTTGGAGAGGAGAAAGGTAACCTGAGCTGGTGTTGGGGCCCTGAGCACCTCTGTTTATTTTTCACATGGCTCAGGGCTCGTTATCCCTCTTAACTCTCTCTGCGCTCTGCCTGGCCCACACTTCAGCACACATTGTCATTTCTGATGGGCAAACATGCCTGGAAAATCTGAGCCTGTGGGGAACCAGAGCTGCACCGCTGTCATCAGAAGTGTTACCTTCTGATTACCGCGATAAAACGCAAAGCCAGAACCGACGCATGACATCACATACCACTCATTCCTGTGTGGATTCACTCAGATAGTCTGATTAATCAGGTTAATATGGACCAAAACGAAACGCTGCTCGCTCTGACAGACATTCAGCGACTGCTGGATTGGATCGTTGAGCTAACCACCTGTTTTTAAATTTCCTAAAGTCACACCTGAAGTAGGTGAGAGTGAAGAAGCCGGGCGGTTGGTACGTGATTCTACGATGCTACCGATGGTGGAAATTCTTTACTTGCAGTGCAACCGTTTACAGAAGAGAGAAAATAAGATGGTACATATAATAGAGATAAAAAGTAAAATGACATCCCTTCCATATAAACTGTAAAATAATAATTTAAGACTAAAATAAGCATCTCAGTATTTACAATCAACAGTGTTTTCATCTGGCAATGCTGCTCAGTAACTAAATTAATATTATTGTACGTGATATTGCACATAGTGAAGTAATGAAATGGGTAACAAATAAGTAATGAAGTTAAAGAAAATTCCAGAGGATCGTTTCTAGCGTCTCGCTGTCAGACGCCGGCTGCTTCCTGGCAGTCGTTCCAAATGTGCAGCAGAAATGGTTGATGTGGATCCTGTGATGATGTTGAACTTTATTAACACAAAGAAATTAGCTTTAGGACAGAAGGTGAAATAACCTGGTTAACAGTTAAATTCTATTCAGTTTATTTCTATAGCTCCAATTCACATCATGTCATCTCAGGTCACTTTCCAGATCAACCAGATCATCCAGTCAGATTGATTCAAAGTTTTCTAAGGAAAACCAGCTGATTGCATCGATCCATTGACTCTTCAGCAATCCCTCACACTAAGCATGCTTGTAGCGACAGTGGAGAGGAAAAACTCCCTTTGAACAGGAAGAAACCTCCAGCAGAACCAGGCTCAGTGTGAGCGGCCATCTGCTGAGGCCCACTGGGGTTCAAGGAGACAGAAGCAGACATAGAAAAAGAAGCCTAGATACAAAAGGCAACTGTCAACCAGCTCCACAGGCGGCCCCGTCCAGGAAACACACAGCCAGGCAGACGAGCTCCGAGCCAGCTCCCATGTCAGAGGATGAAGAGAGCACATCCAGTTAGTCACAGTCAGAGAAACAGGACTACACTGGAAAACAGGCCAAGCTCCAACATCTAGAAACAAAGGTGTTGATGGCAGCAGCACAGCTGATATTTCTCTCCAGGATGGAGTCACAGCCAAACAGGAACAGACCAGATGAAGCTACTATGAGAAAAAGCAGAGAGAGCAGAACGTTAGAGATTGAACTAACAGATTCTGCAGAGTGGGAGAATAGAGATAGAATGAAGCAGAATGATGAAAAAGGGGTCCCTATGTCCTCCAGCAGTCTAAGCCTATAGCAGCAGAACTATAGAGATAGCTCAGGATAACCTGAGCCACTCTAACTAGAAGCTTTATCAAAAAGGAAAGTTTTAAGCCTAGCCTTAAAAGTAGACAGGGTGTCTGCCTCACGGACTAAAACTGGTAGTTGGTTCCACAGGAGAGGAGCCTGATGACTAAAAGATCTGCCTCCCATTCTACTTTTAGAAGTTCTAGGAACCACTAGTAAACCTGCAGATTGAGAGCGAAGTGCTCTGTTAGGAACATAAGGAACAATCAATCAATCAACAGTTGATGGTTGATTTAGTTTTCGGTTTAAAAAAAAAAGCTTTTACTGTTGTTGTGTTGATGAAAGTAATCCGGCTTTAATCAGAGACTTAGAATAGCTCTTCCACTTAAGAGCTGGACACATTAGCTGTATCCGTTTCATAAGAGCTACACTTTACCTGTGAGCAGGAAAAAAGAGCTGCCAACGTCACCGGACGGCCAATTATGTGGCAGCTAGATTTTCTCAGCCTCTACAATGGCGGCCTATCCTCTTACAGCGCTGCTAAAGGTCAGCTGGAGCTGAGTGACAGGAGGCCTTATGTATGGATACTAATTGTTTATTCTTCTCAGTGTGTTTATCCTAAAGCGTAAAACAAGACATGCTGTCAGTGTCCATTCATGTGTTGGATAGTGTTGCTGAGTTAACGGAGAAAGTCTTTCATTAATGTGATATTTTAAGGAGAAAAAATATGGTTTATGTTCAAAAGTTTGGTGGACAAGACCTGGATCCACCTAAGGTCAGAAAAGATGAATAAATACAAGCATCAGACATCAGGAACGTTCCTGTCTGACCGCTGAATGCTCCAGCTAGCATCTCTTGACTGTTTTTATTCTGCCAAACTAACCCTGATCTCTTGGTCCTCTCTAAACCATCTCTCTTTCCTGTCGTTTTCCACCTGCCATCTTTTATAACTCCAGCAGATTTTCCTCTCCACTGTTGCCCATTGCTTCCTCTGAATGAGGGATTCATTGAAGGTGAGGCCATCATGCGTTTTACTGGTTTGTCAACAGTCATTAAATTATTGTTTTAAAATAAGACCTTAATTGGCCGTTCCAACCTTCACATTTCTGAATTCTCCCGAGTGGTGCCTGACTTTTCACGAGTGAATAAAGTGAATGTGATTGGTCGATTATCAAGGGGGCGGGATTGTTGTGGCTGAAGGTTCACAAGCAAGTTTGGTTGTGGCCGATTTGTCGGAAGCATCTTGCTAACCAGTTAGCAACTTAGTGCTAGCAGGTTCCCAATGGGAAATTCCATTGGGATCAAGTAGCACTAAATTGGTGACTTAGAAACGACGCTGTCAAGGAACGCTATGGACAGAGGAAACATGCAAGAGGAGGAGAGTTTAGTGTCGGAGGTCGTGGATGAGTCTCCTCCGTCATCCATTTTTTATTTAGAGGAGGAAAGCGGGGACGAAGATGTTGTGGAAGAGGACGCCAGGGCGGCAGAAGCTTGGTTTGGTGTAGAAGGCTTCCAGCCGTACATGTTTGAGCCCTTGCCTCGCAACGCTGCCAGTTCTGTTAGCTCTACGCCTGCCGAAGACACAGACGTCCATCCCCGTGAACATTGGGACGCAACTCAATGGGAAAGGAAAGGATTCTGGTTTTAACTGTTGCGTATATTAGCTGCGACACATGAATCAAGATGCTATGACCGAAAACATTTAATTGACAGATGACCGTTGATATATGATTGGCCGAATTTAGGTGTTCAGGCTGACGTAGAACTAACTGGCCTGCAGAAGATAACGGGAAAAACACAGATTTTAAGACAGGATTTACCTACATTTTTTTTACTTTTCGGACAATATGGTCTGATAAAGAGAACATTTATATACATGTTTAAGCAAGAATGATTTGACATTTAAATATGATTTCCCTACGACTTTAAATGTGATTATTGTGGCATTTAAAATGCTTTAATAAAATAAAGTTTATAAAAACTATTTCGGCTGGAAAACTATGAATTTTGTGACTTAAAGATGACGAAGGAGTTTTTAAACTTTTTTTTAGAGAGAGAGAGAGTCATGGGTGCCTGTTGATGGCATTAAAAATGAGAGTATTAGAAAGCATTAAATTAGAGATGGCCATTCCAGTATAAACGCTGGTTTGGATCTTTTATGATCAGTTTTTAGTCGTCTTTGAGTCTGATTGAAAGAAATCCGGTAAGTTGCTTCTGATCAGGTTCTGTGTGACGCTGGATGATGAACCGGACCTGTTTTCCCGCAGCATGACGGTGTGATGTTGGTCTTGTAAAGATGGAGCAGAACATATGATCTTTGTGTATCCAGGCCTGCGAGCCCTGCTCCCTCTGCCCATGTGCATCCTCCAAGGACGGCGTGAAGGACAAGGACAAAGACGGCAGGAAGAAGATACCAAAGATCTTTTTTGGCACGCGGACCCATAAACAGATAACCCAGGTGGCTCATGAACTGAAGCGCACCGTGTACTCCGGCGTGCACATGACCATCCTCTCCAGCAGGGATCACACCTGTGTCAACGCAGACGTGGCGCTGCACTCCAACCGCAACGAACGCTGCAAGGATCTGCTGGAGGCCAAAGATGTGAGGAGGACGAACAGACACACACACACACACACACAGAGACGTCTTCAGCCTTTGAATCTCATCCTGCTGCTGTCAGAAATCAGGAAGAAAGGCTGATAGTAACCAGAGATGTTCTCTGGTACAGATTAGTGGGAAAGTTTCAGTGGGCTCAGACTGACTGACGCTCTTAGCCTCAGAGGAACTCAATTCATCCACAAAGCAACCTTTGACACCCTAGAACGACCAGAACCATTTTTCTGAGATGTGATACACTTGTAGCTCCTATTGTGTCCCAGAGTTCAGGCGCCTACTGTAATGAGGACGATTATGCTGTCAGGTGAGGTGTTGGCCTCACAGCAACTGTAGCGCAGTTACAGCTGGAGCAGGTGTCGCCCGCAGCCCGGGTGTTGATGACCAGGTGTTATTTCCTTTAAGATATTTGTTAGTGACAAATGATGCAGTTAAAATCCAACTGTGCTTCATTCAACATCAACCAGGAATCAGAAAGTTTCCTATTTGTTGAAAGAAGCAGACTGAAGGCCTGAACACACCGGCTGGAACGACTTTTTATATTTCCATCAGATTGTTTTTAAAAAGCGAGCAGCGTCGGAAGCATCTCTACAGTCACAGGCTGTTTGTAGAAAAAAGGTTGAATTAGGAGAAGAAATTTAAACCTGAAATAAAACAATTTAACGAAAAAGTATGGAGAAAAAAACTTGATTTTTAACAACATTTACATTTACATTGAACGCTAAACGCCACCACCTCTGAGGTACGATTTTCTGAGGGATCGGACCTAAAATGGTACTCGGTGTGTTCTGGCCTCCATGGATAAATGTTCTAACTAGGGATGGGGATCGAAACCCGGTTCCATCAAGGACCCGGTTCCACTTTTTTCAAAACCCGAAAATCAATAACGTTTGGGCTTATCGATACCACTATCGAGTCTGGTCGTTTTTGTTTTTTTTCTCCCGGAGGTCCTGTAACATAATTGTGTGTCCCTCGAGTCGCGTCACAGCATTTAAATCTAATCAATCACTGCAGCATGTCCACCAATGTTTTGGAATGAAATTGTAAGCAAACAGATATTAAAAGTAAAACAAGTGAAGTCTGGCAGTTAACTTCGCTCGCGACTCGGCTTCATTTTACCAAGCTCAAAGATAAAGAAGAAGCGAAATGCAACTTATGTTGCAATATCATCTCTTTTAAACCGGGGGGACACAACCTCAATGGCCAAGCACATTAGTATTGTGCATGAAATAAAGGCCAAATGCAGTACCTTCGACTGTCTCCGGGTTGAAAAGACTCCTCCTCCTCCTGCCGCCGCAATCGGGCCCGTCTTCATCATCCACTCAGAGTACCACTGGTCAGAGCGCACACAGACTTTGTAGCTTGTCCGGTCAGTTAAATAGTAATTGTGAAATCCGTGTTGTAATCGGAAGCATACAAGCTAGTTAGCTTGAAAAGTAAATAAAGTTTCAGACGTGCTGCGTGATGATGCGTTCAGATTGGCTCAGTAAAACGACAATTAGGTTATCATGATGCGTTCAAGTGTAACGTAAAGAAAAGGGAAATTTAGTTTTTGGCGAGAAACATGAGTAATACAGTTGTATATTGCTCTATATATAATTAAACTACTGATGCCAACATTTATTAAAAATTACATTTAATTTAAAATACAATTATTTATTTGCTAAATATTTTCCTAATCACTAAAAACATGATAAAAGTGACAGTAGACAATACATTAACCAACAATTGTGAAAACGTATATATTTTTTTAAATCAAAAGAAGACATTTCTTCAAAAAAAAATTTTTTCCCCCACTTCCTTTCTGTCTGTTAAAAACATATTGTCGCATCGTCTTTCCACAAAATAACAGAAAAGTATCGATAGTGGTATCGATAAAGACTCGGATCGATAAGCAGTATCGATAAAGGTATCGATATCAATAAATATTAACGATCCCCATCCCTAGTTCTAACTGGTGAGTTTCTGATCAGTAGAAAGCAAACCCCAGCAGACCAATGAAAATTGTGTTTTGGCTTTTTCAGGGACGGTCATGCAGGTTCTACCACAATGTGCAGAAGATGCGGGACCAGCAGACTCTCCAGTGGGTCCATGGGCTGCGTGAAGCTTGGGACATCGAAGACCTGGTGACTCTGGGCAAGCGCCTCCGGGCCTGCTCCTACTACGCCGCCCGGGAGCTCATGCAGGGCGCCTACATTATCTTCTGTCCGTATAACTACCTGCTGGACCCCATGATCAGAGAGAGCGTGAGGAACCATGAAAACACTCGTTGATTTTTTCAGATCCCTGAAGCTTATCTGTTGCTTCTTTTTATCCATCTTCATTTTCTCCAGATGGAGATCGACCTGGCAGGTCAGATCCTGGTGCTGGATGAGGCCCATAACATCGAGGACTGCGCCAGAGAAAGCGCCAGCTACACCTTAGACCTCCACAGCCTGCAGGCATCCAGAGACGAGCTGGACGGCATGGTCAGCAGCAACATCAGACGCTCCAAGCACGAGCCCCTCAGGGACTTCTGCTACGTCCTCATCAAGTCAGTCCATCAGTGAACCTTCTCAGATCGGTAGGATCCAAACCTGAGCTGTTCTCTGAGCTGTCTGATCTTTCTTAGCTGGATCCAGGAGAGCCAGGATCTCCTATCGGAACGTGGCTTCGAGAGCGCCAGCAAAGTCTGGAGTGGAAAGGATATAGTGAGCATCTTCCACAGTCTGGGCATCACCGCCGACACCTTTACCAACATGAAGGTAAAGACCTTTGCTATGGTGGTTAGACTGGAGCCTGATCCCTGATGAAGTCCCTAATCTACTGTTCCATGGAACCAGCAACACCTGGCAGCCGTGCTGGAGAAGGAGGAGCGTGTTGGTTTGGCCGGCGGTCGGGAGGACACGGTGCAGGTCCCGGTCATTAGCTCGTCTACGGCCACCGTCCTGAAAAACCTCTTCATGGTGCTGGATTATCTGCTGAGGGACAACAGCCGGTCAGAGACCTTTCCAGTCCCTGCTGCTTCGTTGGTTGTCGGCCGCTCAGAACTTCTGGCTTTGTCTGCAGGTTTGCTGAGGATTACCGTGTCGCACTGCAGAGGACCTACGCGTGGACCAACCAGGCCCCGCCTGACGTCCCCGATGCCCAGGGCTTTGTGGCCCGGCCCCGCTTCCGACACCGGCAGAGCATCCGGGTCAAGAAGGAGCTCCTGACTTTGAGTTTCTGGTGCCTCAACCCTGCTGTGGTGAGATGTGACGCGTGGAACACTGAGGAGGAGCTTCAGTCCATTTCCTGTTTCCCTCACTTTAATAACATGTTGGAATAACTTTAAAAAAAGAGTTAAAATCAATCCTCTGGACTTTGTTTCCAAGTCTGAAGACGTTTCTCTTCCATCCAGGAAGATTTTTCAATTCAGAATGTCAGAAATAGTGTTTAGTTCCAGGTTTTATCCAGCAGCCCAACAAAGCCTGGTTTTAGTTTAGAAAACATGCAAATAGAAACGGATGAACGGGTCCCCCCCTTTGGAATGGGGGTCGTTTGGCTTCTTTGTTAGCCTGCAATGCCCCATACCTGTTAGGGATGGAACGGTTTATGAAAACCGTCCGAACCGTTCGGTTCGACTGTCTCGGTTCGGTTCGCGTGTAATGCGTTCGGTTCATGTGCTGCTCCTTTTTCTCATAGGCGAAGCGTTTACACTCCAGAGCAGAAGGTGGCGGTACTGCGACCAAAGCCAACCACCAGTAGTAAACAAGAAGAAGAAGAAGAAGCGAAGCAGCGTAGCCGGGTGTAGCAGAAAAAAATCAGTTGTTGTGGAGAATTGTGTGGGTATGGCGATTGGGAAAGAACAGGAGTTGGAAGACGCGCCAGCAGCGCTTTATAGGTCTGCTGTATGGGACCACTTTGCATTTAGAGTGACCTACGATGACGGCGGGAAGAAAGCTGTGGATAAAAGTGCAACAGTGTGCAAGCATTGTGCAACACGTTTTGTTTATGCTAACAGCAACATGTCATGCTAACCCTGAAATCCCTCATACTCTATCAGCGCTCCGCCCCGCTGCGCTCCAGACCGGCTGCTCAAAGCAAAGCCTACAGCCTCCACTGAGGCTCCCGTCCGCTCCGCTCTGAGTTCCTTGGAGATGGTAGAGAGCATGCGCCAGATGATTAAATTCAAAGCAGCAAAACATGCGGAAATGATCCAGGGTTTCCGCGGATCATTTAAAATAATTACAAAACCGAAAACCGTGACCACGAAACCGTGAATCGAACCGAACCGTGGATTTTGAGAACCGTTCCACCCCTAATACCTGTCTATGTCAACTCAGTCTCTGCAATGCAGGTTTAAAAAACCTACTATATAAGCGACTGAGTTTATTCTTTCCCGCTATCATTGCAGCCCCAACCCCTTTACAGGAGAACAGAAGACCTCACCTATTCAGCCATTCCAACAATTCCCCTTTAAAGGAATAGTACACCCAAAACATGATTAGCCTTCATTTTCTACTCACCCCCATGCTGAACAACACTCTGGAGTACTTTTTTGATATCTCAAATGCATCTGGAGATCTGGGAGGCTTCTTGCTGTCTGCTGACATTCAAATAATGGAGGTCTATGGCGCCCGAGGCAGAAAGGTCCATAAAAGTCCACAAAAAACGTGTCAATATTCCTCCATACTGCTCGTCCAATGTATTCCAAGTGTCCTGAGTGGGTAGCGTCCAGAATTTACTCGAAACGAAGTCATTTAGAATGTTTTTAGAGCATAAACAGTAGTGTATAGGATTTCCTGAAAGCGCTTTCACGACGCTACGGAAACCGCGGCAGACCAACCCAGATGAAAGTGCGCATTCAGCTCGGCAAAGAACTCATGTTCTTCCTCAACACTGAAGTCCTCAGACATTTTTCTTTCGTTGTTTCTTTCTTTGCACAGGTAAACAGCACATTTCTTCTTCTATGCTTGCATTATTGGCAGAGCAGACGCTGAATGCGCACTTTCATCTGGTTTGGTCTGCCGGCTTCCGTAGCGTCGTGAGCGCGCATGAACGCGCTTTGAGGAAATCCTATACACTACTGTTTATGCTCTAAAAACATTCTAAATGACTTCGTTTCGAGTAAATTCTGGATGCTACCCACTCAGGACACTTGGAATAGTTTTTTGTGGACTTTTATGGACCTTTCTGCCTCGGGCGCCGTAGACCTCCATTATTTGAATGTCAGCAGACAGCAAGAAGCCTCCCAGATCTCCAGATGCATTTGAGATATCAAAAAAAGTACTCCAGAGTGTTGTTCAGCATGGGGGTGAGTAGAAAATGAAGGCTAATCATGTTTTGGGTGTACTATTCCTTTAATGACCCCCCCTTTCAGAGACATAGACAGGTATGGGGCATTGCAGGCTAACAAAGAAGCCAAACGGCCCCCATTCCAAAGGGGGGGACCCGTTCATCCGTTTCTATTTGCATGTTTTCTAAACTAAAACCAGGCTTTGTTGGGCTGCTGGATAAAACCTGGAACTAAACGCTATTTCTGACATTTTGAATTGAAAAATCTTCCTGGATGGAAGAGAAACGTCTTCAAACTTGGAAACAAAGTCCAGTGGATTGATTTTAACGTTTTTTTGGAATGACTATAACCTGGATGACTGAGAATCTCCACCAGCATGATGGAATAACCTGATCCTCAGCCTGGTTCTGTTCCTTCAGGCCTTCTCTGACCTGAGTGGAACCGTTCACAGCATCGTGCTGACATCAGGAACCCTGTCCCCCATGGGATCCTTCTCTTCTGAGCTCGGGGTGAAGTTCACCATCCAGCTGGAGGCCAACCACGTGATCAACAGATCCCAGGTTCATGACGGCGTCTCTGCTGCATGGTTTAACGCTGTATTAGGTGTTTAGGAGGAACCTAGATGTTAGTCTCTCTCTCTGTGATAAAAGCACAAAATAGTGACTCACTGATGACCTCGTCTAAGTATCCACACCCCCTTAGCTTTTTGCTACTACCAGAGAAATGACCTACAGAATATTTAGTTGGGTTTGTGACAGACTAGGAGAAAGAAGTGCATCGATGTCGCAGGGATGGAAAATTATGAACCAGTATCTAGAAAGTGTTGGAGATATTTAGGTTTCTGCTACAGCTGCAAATCTTTTGTTGTTTCTCTGCGTCTAGAGGGAGAACAGCTGCTCCTCGTTAGTAAATCACTGCATGCAGACAGTAAACAGTAGTTTGTAGTCTTTCATTGTGACTGGGCCGATTGACTGCATTAATATTCTTTCATCTCAATCTGGAAGCAGATAAAAGTTTTTATTAATGCTTGGCTGTCAGCGTGATGCACACTAACGAAAATCAGCTTCAAACGACAAATACGAAGTAAAACAAACTGCTTCTGCTCTCATGTTTATCTGTTTAAGGGCTTTATCAATTTAATTGCAATTCAAGAAAATGCAATTTTTAAATCTCAGAGGTACAAATTTCTGATCAGGTTACATTTCAGAGATTACGAGACATATTTTTCCTTACTCAAAACTTTTAATGAGGGTCAGGTGTTTAAAATGGGTTTGCTTTCATGAAAAAGGAAATAAAGTTCCTGGCAGTGTGTAGATCTATGCATGTAGACGTGAACACTTTTCCAAACAATGGTTACAGTGAAGTCCTGCAACAACGGACTCTGGATCAACAAAGGAGTAAAACATCTACATGCTGGGGGTTGGTGCAAAGGAAAATCCAAATAAAATCACAATATTGGTTAAAAATATCGCAATTTTAGCAAACTTGTTCAGCCCTAGTTTGTTTTGAGGGAATAAATGGGTTCATGGTTCATAAAGGACATAGCTGCAATTTCTTTTTTTCAAACAAAATTACCTCCACAGAACATTTAGATTGTTGCAGAATAACTGCAGTGATTTGACTAAAATAATTTAATAATATATAGATGGCCTCATTTAGACGTTTATATGTCGGCTAAATCGGCTGTTTCATGATCCATCCCTGCTTTTATAAACCGTTCTGTTTGCTCACTAATAGAAATCTGATTTTATTTAGTAGCATCGCAGTAACGAGGGTTTTATAGAAATACACGTCAAGCAAAAAATCCCGATTATTCGCAGTACTTTAGCATAGACCGAGGCAGACTAGTTTGATATCATTTTCAAAATACTAAAACTAAACACAGCTCTAAGATTAGTGATTTTCTTTTATTTAAATGTAAAAATATAAGATAAAAAAGAGAAATTTTTGTTTGTTCTAGGTCTGGGTGGGCACGGTTGGCGCCGGACCCCAGGGCCGTAAACTGTGCGCCACCTTTCAGCACGCTGAAACCTTCGCCTTCCAGGATGAGGTTGGCGCTCTGCTGCTGCACGTCTGCCGGGTCATGGCCAAAGGCGTGCTCTGCTTCCTGCCGTCCTACAAGGTAAGGGCGCCCGCAGGCGGTCAAAGACGTGGAAATGAAATCAGACCATGAAGAATAAAACCAGCTGGAATCGACTGTGAGCACCGAGGGGTTGAAATGAGCCTGGCAGTAATCTGAAAAATAAAGAAAAAATCAACACTGACACACTGACTGCTGGTTAAAATGTTTATTTTATACAAAGTTAACGACAGCAGGACCGTGTTGGTGTGAAGCAGACTGTGTGGTGAAATGCTGCTGTGTAAATGTTCTGAATTTACGTCTAAAAACTGTTTCATAGCTGTTCTGACCTCTGCTGCCTCTCACTGTCTCCTGCTTCCTGTTCCATCTTCATCCAATATATGCTCAGAATATTGGTTTAAATGAAGTCGACCTGGGGTTCAATGATGCATGCTACCACCAGGAGGAGCAGGAGACCACGAGTTGGTGTTTGAGCTGCACCAGTAGATCCCAGTGAGCAGGCGGTGTAAAGCTGGACTGCTGAGTAGGATGCAGTTAAACTAATGATTATTCTGCTAATTGATTAATGTGGAAATCATTTTTGGGATTAATTATTTTTTTACCAAATGAAACAAAAACTTTTCCACATGAAGAGTTTTGGATTATAGAGCAGATCGACAGAAGAAAAAGATTTTTCATCTTAGTTGCAAAATTGCAAAAATTTTTTTATAATCTTGGTATAATTCCTATAATAGAGTCTCTATACTCCAGTTAACACTGGACTGGGCGTGCAGGTGGTGCAGTGGTTAGTGCACACGACCCATCGGAGGCCTTAGACCTCGACACGATAGGGACTGGATCCTTTGCCGCGTGTCTCTCCTCCTCTCTCATGCCGCCTTTCCTGTCAGCCTACCGTCAGAAAAACGAGCCACTTGTGCCGTAAAAACAAAAAACAATTGATTACTAAATTAGTTGTTGATTATTATAATAATAATACATTTTATTTGTAATGCACTTTACATTTAAGAAAAATCTCAGAGTGCTACAGGTAAAAATCATTATCAGAAGGTAAAAGCAAAAACGTAAACTAAACATCATTGTAAAGTACATATAAATAAATAAGTCTGTGGCATAATTATAAAAGGTTTTTTCAATCATTTCAATAATCGATTAACCTGATTGTTTCAGCAGTGATTTAAAGAAGCTTGTCTGGTTTAAAAAGTCATCCTGAGAATCAAACCGTCTGATTGGACAGAAAGTTTGTGCGGCTGAATGCAGCACGGTGGTCCTGATCAATAGAGGGACTCGCTAACGTGGCGGAGCGCTGGATCTGCTGTCAGCTAATGAGGACACATCTTAGCGCACTCACAGACACTTTGTCCCCTTTGTTTGTTTTGCCTCTTTAATAATGAATGTCGTGTCGCTCAGCTGGTTTACTGCAGCCTCAATAGGTTGGCTTTGTGGTCGTGTGAATCTAGCATGTGAACGTGATGATGAATGTTGGTCAGTCCTGCGCTGACCCGTGGTTCTGCTTTGAGCCTGTTTTCATGTCCCTCCTTGGACCGGTTCGTCCACTGGCTGGGTTTTTCCTGCTCTCAGGTTGCATTCTCCTTATAACCGTCATGTGAACAGCGGAGGAAAGCCAAGACTCAGGCTTAGCTGTCTCTTTGTCAGGCCGCCATGCCGGCCCAGCAGCGCCTACCAGCCCTGGAATGTTTTTTTTCTATTATTGATATTCATGTAGAAGTCCTTCCTCTCTGCATGCTGGTTCATACATATTTAATCTGCAGTCAGCTCTTAAAGATAAGGAGATGAGGGAATATGAAGGGCTGGGTATTAATTGGAGCCCATGGAGGCCTGCTGGTGCCACAGAGTCCCGTCTGCCGTGTGTAGCTGTGTGCATGGAGAGGATGGGACATCTGAACAGTTCAGAGCATTGAACTGATAACCATCAGCTCTGTCCGCACTACTGCTCCAGCAATAAACCCCGGCCAGAGAGAGAACCCGCCCGTTCTTTTCCTAAAATGATTTTATTTACTGTTGTGTGGCTGATCAATCTGAAGTAGAAATCTGTTTTTCAGCACCTTAATTTCTCGTCTGTTAAAACCTGGCCATGCTCGTACCTCTGGCTTCAGCCGGGGGGAGCCGAGCGGCCGTTTGGGTGGATTTAAAAAAAGCAGGGTTCTGCAGAGGAATACAAGATGCTTTTAAAGGAGACGAGATAAGGGCCATTAGGGGATGTCGCCTCACTGTCTGCGTGAAGACGTGTCCGGCGCCTGGCCTCCACTGAGCTCGTGTCAAATCAAAGTCAACCTGGAACACGCATCTTGGCACACGCTATCTGTGCTGTTTGCAACAGTTGGTGTGAAGGTTTAACAAAGGTCTCTGATCTCCTGCTTTCTAAAACCTTTGACCTGTTGATGCCAAAAAGAGAGAAGAATCCTTTCCTCGGTTAGCCGTAGGGCCGCTAATTGCATCTGCAATTAAATTCAAACTGCAGAGGCGCTCAATGTTGCTCACATTACATTTTAAGGAAAAGTTAGAATTCAAACTTCTGAAAGTTCTTTAAATCTGAAATCATTCCATCCTGTTCAATAAATGATCAGAGTTTTTAATTCAGAGTAATTTTCATGTGAATGTGCTTTACTGGAGGCATCCATGTTTGTCAAAGAACACTACTGCCACCTACTGGTTAGTGACGTCACGGTGCGGTATCGGCTGTTGATCAAGTCCCAGTGCTGTATCTGGTGGACTTGCGCTTTTCTCCTCCTCTTGAGCTCCGGTGGGCTCTCTGCCCAGCAGGCTCCTCCAACCTACCTCAGTAGAGGAGGACGTGGCTGGCGGCCTTATCCCGGTCATGGTGCTCTCTCAGCCGCTGTTCTCACACTGGCTTCTGCTGTTTCTGTCTGAGCTCAGAATGCTGTTTGCTCTTATTTCTGTTGTTGAATGATTTGTCCATGTTTTGGGCACTGTGATCAGAACAAACATGGACCAAGCGTAGGAGAGATTCGTGGCTGCTAAGAGAAAAACGGGCAGAGCTTAAAAAGGGGGGTGTCTAGCATATATATTATGAAATATTACCCTTGGTACTACAGAATATAATTATTTTTGAAACATCATTTTAAATTGTTTTTATTTTTCCACCCAGGAGAAGGACTCTTGCCTTCACCTGTTAGCAGCTGCAGCATCAGTTTCACAACGAGCTCTTCTATAGAACAGCTGAACGACGAGTGAATGGGGCATAAAGGGCTGGTAAATTCCTTCAGTTGGTGGGCAGAATACTTTCATCCTTCAAAATACAGAGACCTCCTGTCCCCATAAGTGCCCTCTACCTCTTATCTAATCGGTCTAATTAGTAGGGATGCACGATATAATCGGCCCCCTATCGGTATCGGCCTTAAAACTGAATATCGGACATCGGCCACCCCACCGATATTTAACCCGATATTTGATCAGCTTCTGAGTTTCTAAAGTAAAAAAAAAAAAAAATACTTCTTCTTCTTCAAAAACTTCTTTTTTTACAGACTTAAAAACTTCTAAAGACGAGGGAAAAAATATTGATCCATTAAAATATCCCAATATCTTCATATGCCGATATATTGCCATTTAGAAACACCATATCAATCTCTCTTACTAATGAAATATTGCTATATGTCATCGTTATGCTACGAAATCCCTCGAAAATTCACCAAATGTTGCCATATTTTTATATGTTGACATATTGACGCGGTATCGATCTATTTTACTAACAAAATCTCACAAGAATTTGCAAAATATCACGAGAGTTTGTAACAGAACGATGAAATTTCACCAGATCTTCAAAGTAAAATAGGTCGATACCGCGTTTTTAAAAATCTATTTGATATCAGCATATGAAAATATATTTGAGTATATTATTTTTCAAAGTGTCAGAAATGGATAACAAAACTGCTATTTTCAATGACTACTTATTTTTGTCCAGCTTTAACATCGGTATCGATATCGGTTATCGGCTACATGAGTTTTAAAATATCGGCATATCGGATATCGGCCAAAATCCCAATATTCTGCATCCCTATAAATTAGGGAAGTCTGGCCAGCCAGACGAAGAGCATAAATCAGTCTGTAAACTGCCGTTGACTTCGGATCTGGCCAGACCAATCACAGCGCGGGAGGTGGCATTTTTACGATGCGTAAAAATTACCCAGAAATGCAGAAGCGCCTTTCTGCTAGCATAACGACAAGCTGTCGACCGAAACAGAGCATGGTTGCAATGAAAGTTAAGAACGTAACGGAGAGCAGACCTTAAATCCACTGATATTTTAGATAAAAGCAGAAATTGTTCAGTGAAGAGTTTCTCTGACGGCTTGCACCATGAGAAATGGGCTCCTGCACGCTCTCGCAGGCGTTTAATAGGTGTTCCTTATCAGGAGCGGGGGCAGGGTTGTGCATGTGCATTTTTTTTTTAAAGTGGAGATGGTGGGTCTTTAAAAAAATTCACGAAAACCCTCCACTATACATTTAAGGCTCGCTCTGACTGCAGCGCTTAGAATGACTTACATTTGCAATGTGTTCCCAATTTAACAAAATACAGAGTTTTTTTATGTTAAATTTAAATAGAATAAAGACCGACTTCTTCACTCAGACCTTTAGGTGTTGCTAATATGCTGGAGCCACAGAGAAGGGAGCAGAGAGGCTGCTAGCAGCAGATTCATACAGCAGGAACAGTAAAGTGCTGCTAAACGGACTCCAGTTTAAGGTCATGGAAATGGAGAATCCTCTCCATCCTGGTGGTTAGAGCCGAGGAAAATCACAATAAAACTTAGATTTTGTCAGAAACATTAAGCTCTAGTTTTGTAAATCAACAGAGGAGGTTTTTTAAAATGTTTTGCAGCTTTATTACAATCTATCTTCAGGGTTGAACTAATGAGAATAATGTTTTCTAGTAGCTGGAAGAACCCACAGCAGAAGGCCGTCATGCCTTCAGCTGTTTGTTGAATTATTTGAAGTTTTCCCAGGATTGCTGCATGTTGGCCATTGGAGTATAAACTGCAGCTTTACTCCGACTTCCAGGCTGTGCTCCA